CCTTCCTCCTTCCTCCTTCCTCCTTCCTCCTTCCTCCTTCAGTGGAGACTCACCAATGAAATCTCCTGCCAATCACCGCCTGCCCTTGTCCTAGAAATAGATGTAGAGGCTTTAAAAGGGAGAAAGAGGAAGGGTATTTGCATACGTTTGCAGCCTCTCTGTCTTGCAGCTCAACTTAAGCGTGAGGAGAAGAGGTCCACCTAGAAAGAACATTGGTTTCAGAAGATCAGTCCTTGCCCATTTCTCTGCCATGGCTCAACCGTTTCTCTTCCTCCTCTTCCTCCTCAGCTTCTTCACTGGTAAAGTATCCTGTTGGCTGGAAAAGATCAAGCATCTTCTCCTCTTCCTTGGAACAGTTCTCCATTTCTGGAATTATTCCCTTCTCCTCGTCCCTTTTTTCCTTCCTTTCAGTTGAATTAAAACTTTTTCCTCTGGTTGTATCTCAGCTTCATTTTATCCCTTTTCTTTCCCATGCAGGTTCCTTGGCCCAGTTCACGCTGACTCAACCACCTTCTGTGTCGGTATCCTCAGGAGGAACAGTCAGGATCACCTGTACCAGGGCAGGTGGTAGTTTTTCTGACCACTATGTGTACTGGTATCAGCAGAAACCTGGCTCTAAACCCCTAGCAGTGATCATTGAAGATAGTGAGAGACCTTCTGGAATCCCTGAGCGGTTTTCTGGTTCTGTTGATCTTTCCTCTAAAACAGCCACCTTGTCCATCTCTAACGTTCAACCAGAAGATGAGGCTGACTATTACTGTTTCTCTGGTGAAAATAATCAGTGCACAGTGATTCCACCTTATGGGGAACTGTGACAAAAACCAGAAGGTGTCTCAGCCTTCCTTGAAGGCTTCGCTCAACACAGGTTGCAGATGGTTTGAGAGAAGAATTGCACACAACAAGGGAATATATTTTCAACATTTTTGGCAACCTCTTTTCAAGTGGCCTCCCTCTATGACCTTCCCAGCCAGCTTCTGAGAAGCAAATTCAATAAGAGAATTCGGATTTGCTTCAAAACTGGTTTCACAAAAGAATTACACACAGCCACGGAATTCTAGTAGTCTAGCCTTTATTATCATTGAACAAAATAAATACAATGAAATTAGTTCGAATATATTTTTGATGGTTTGAGCATCCTCTTCTCACGTGACCCCCTTCTATGACCTTCACAGCTCGCAATCTACACACACAGCCAATGGGGGGAACCAGATTCCCTTAATGACTACATGATTCACTTAACAACTGTGGGGTTTTTCTTAACAACCTTGAGAAAGACATTGTAAAAGTTAATGGGACTCATGGAAGAACCTCCTTGCTTAGCCATAGACATTATGGCATCAATGGTGGTCGTAAATCGAGGACCCGCTGTACAGAAGGTGTACATTCAGCTACCTGATTCATTTCCCTTAATGGCAATGACAATAGGCTGAACTGCATTTGGGGAGGGGTTAGTGTGTTTTGGGTGAAGCCCACCCCTTCGCTTTTAGCACACCCCACACCAAACTCAAAATCAGGCCACTTCCCTGCATTGGGAAGGTAAACTTTGGGTGGCCTCCCAAATGGACCACTGCAATGTTCATCCAATGGGGTTGCCCTTGAAGAGTATCCATAAGCTGGAAATAATCGAAAAGGTGCCTGTTAATCCAGGCCACCCCTCTGTTTCCTGAATTGCACTGGCTCCCAATACACTTGTGGGCATCATTTAAGTTTCTAGTCCTCCTCCTAAAGCTTTCATGTCATGGGAGTAGCTTACTGCATAGACGACCTCTTTGCCATGGTCCATCTGCCCAGGAGATCCTTTGCTTAGGTTCTAGTAAACTGAAATCTGGGAATCCCAAAGACAGATCAATTCNCTGAGCTACCCTAACTCCCAATATGCTTTTGGTGATGCTTTAATAGCTTTCATGGCATGGGGGCACCTTAACAGTGAGACCAGCTCTTTCCAGGGGTCTATCTGTACATCCACTCCTTTGCTTAGGTTCCAGCAACACTGAAATGTGAGAATACAAAGGCAGATCAATTCGGGATGTTCTAGAAAGAGAAGTGGAGTTGGATCTTCTATCCATTCCCCAAGGAGGGAATGAAATCTCCTGCCAGCCACTTTAGTTGAAAAGTTGTCTGTTAATCCAGTTATAGCTGTACTTCTGGAGCTGCACTGACTCCCAATACACTTCTGGGTGTCATTTAAGTTTCTAGTCCTCCTCCTAAAGCTTTTGTGGCATGGGGTGGGGTGGGGGCAACAGACTTTCCAATGGTCCACCTGCCCTTCAGATCCTTTGCTTAGGTTCCCATGCTGAAATCTGGGAATTCTAAAGACGGATCAGTTCGGGATGTTATGGGAAGAGAGATGGAGTTGGACTCTCTACCCTTCCTCCTTCCTCTTTCAGTGCAGATTCACCAATGAAATCTCCTGCCAATCACCGCCTGCCCTTGTCCTGGAAATAGATCTAGAGGCTTTAAAAGGGAGAAAGAGGAAGGGTATTTGCATGCCTTTGCAGCCTCTCTTTCTTGCAGCTCAATTTAAGCATGACTAGAAGAGGTCCACCTAGAAGGAACGTTGGTTTCAGAAGATCAGTCCTTGCTCATTTCTCTGCCATGGCCCAACCGTTTCTTTTCCTCCTCTTCCTCCTCACCTTCTTCAGTGGTAAAGTATCCTGTTGGCTGCGAAAGATCAAGCATCTTCTCCTCTTCCTTGGAACACTTCTCCATCTCTGGAATTATTTCCTTCTCCTCGTCCCTTTTTCCCTTCCTTTCAGTTTAATTTAAACTTTTTCCTCTGGTTTCATCTCAGCTTCATTTCATCCCTTTTCTTCCCCTGCAGGTGCCTTGGCCCAGTTCACAATGACTCAACCACCTTCTGTGTCAGTATCCCCTGGAGGGACAGTCAGGATCACCTGTACCAGGACAGGGGGTAGCTTTTCTGACTACTATGTGAGCTGGTATCAGCAGAAACCTGGCACTAAACCCCTAGCAGTGATCTATAAAGATAGTGAGAGGCCGTCTGGAATCCCTGAGCGGTTTTCGGATTCTTACGATTCTTCCTCCAATTCGGCCACATTGACCATCTCCAACGTTCAACCAGAAGATGAGGCTGACTATTACTGTTTGACTTATGATGGCAATAATCAGTGCACAGTGATTGCACTTGATGGGGAACTGTGACAAAAACCAGAAGGTGCCTCTGTCTTCCTTGAAGGCTTCACTCAACACAGGTTGCAGATGGTTTTACAAAAGAATTGCACACAGTCAGGACACTTATTTCAGACGGTTCTAGCATCCTGGAGTTATGTGATCAGCGACTGGGTCCCTCCCAACTGGCTTCCAACAAACCAAGTCAATGGGGGGGAAACCAGCTTCATTTTCGCAACCATGAGATTAAAGCAACATCTGCAGAAATTTGTTTAACAACTATGGCACAGAAGGCCCAAAGATTCAGGGCAACCCACTTATCAA